TAGCTTGAGTGTAAATAATTTCTACATTTGTTTGTTTTGTGTTGTGCATTACCTAAAAATATTAGGCAGTATAATTTACTTAACACAGATGAATGACATCTAATATAAGGGGCGGACAGAGTATGAATTCTAAAACCTGAATTGTGAATTATGAGAACGACTGGTTGTTAAGCCACTCTGGAAATTATAGTCCTGTGAGAGGAATATTAAAATTATGATTATTATTACAATTAATTTATCAGTCAGGTCCAAGTCCAATGTTCTAATTGGTATGTCACCTAGGCTATCAAAAAATCAAAAATTTAAGAAATAGTAGTAGCAACAATACCCCAGTAGCATGACCTCTGCCTATGTTTCCAGTGAAATTGTATGTTATTGGCATGTTTAGGCCCAAGACTAGTCTGAAATATCCATGCACAGTTTTGCCATTCTTATAAGAGAGAAAGGTTTTGAGCCCTAGTCTCAAGTCCTCATCCATTCTCTCTGTACGCATTTTGGCAGATTGTTGGAAAGTTCCTTCTGCAGTGAGAACTTCCTAGTATCACAAATGCACTGCCTGTACTATCCAATTGGCATTTAACGTTTCTCATATTAGAGGCAGATATGGCGTTTTAAATGGTTACTGCTGCCCTCTAGCAGTTAAAAGGAGAACTGCCTCTGAACTTTCCCAGAGTTTCTCACTGTGTAGGTGTGTCCTGAAATCAGTGGAAATACCACAACGGAGGAAATGAAAATTAAAAAAGGCAAAAGTTAATAAAATCAGGACACAATAGTTTTCTTCTCTTTTTTTCAAAATATATTTGCATATTATAAAATGGAATATATATAGAGAGAGAGAGAGAGCGTGCGCCAGTTTGTTTTGTGGTTAGAGTACTGGATTAAGACCTGCCTCTCAGCCTAACCTTCCTCACAAGATTGTTGTGGCGATTAAATGCAGGAAGAGGGGGACCATATACACTACCTTGAGCCCCTTGGAGAAAAGGGTGGAATATAAATCCAATCAATCGATCGATTCAAATACCAGGTAAAAGAGGTATTTCACAGCGACCGCCCAGACATCTATGAGAAGCCTGCAAGCTGCACAAGGGCAACACAGCATCTAGGCCATCCAGCAACTGGCACTGAGAGGCATATTGACTCTGACAGTACAAGTAGAAAATAACCATTGTGGCTAGTTGAGAGCCAGTGTGGCGTAGTGGTTAAGAGCGGTAGTCTCGTAATCTGGGGAACCGGGTTCGCGTCTCCGCTCCTCCACATGCAGCTGCTGGGTGACCTTGGGCCAGTCACACTTCTGGGCACCACAGTTCAAGAAGGACACTGACAAACTGGAACGTGTCCAGAGGAGGGCAACCAAAATGGTCAAAGGCCTGGAAACGATGCCTTATGAGGAACGGCTAAGGGAGCTGGGCATGTTTAGCCTGGAGAAGAGGAGGTTAAGGGGTGATTTGATAGCCATGTTCAAATATATAAAAGGATGTCATATAGAGGAGGGAGAAAGGTTGTTTTCTGCTGCTCCAGAGAAGCGGACACGGAGCAATGGATCCAAACTACAAGAAAGAAGATTCCACCTAAACATTAGGAAGAACTTCCTGACAGTAAGAGCTGTTCGACAGTGGAATTTGCTGCCAAGGAGTGTGGTGGAGTCTCCTTCTTTGGAGGTCTTTAAGCAGAGGCTTGACAACCATATGTCAGGAGTGCTCTGATGGTGTTTCCTGCTTGGCAGGGGGTTGGACTCGATGGCCCTTGTGGTCTATTCCAACTCTATGATTCTATGATTCTATTCTAAGTCTCTCAACCCCACTCACCTCACAGAGTGTTTGTTGTGGGGGAGGAAGGGAAAGGAGAATGTTAGCCGCTTTGAGACTCCTGAAGGGGAGTGAAAGGCGGGATATCAAATCCAAACTCTTCTAGTAGCATGGATAGCCTTGTCCTCCACGAATTTGGAAACGTGTACATGATGCTGGGGATATGGGCCGCCTGGATCTCTGCAGAAAGGTACACAGGGAACCAGATGACCCAAACCAAGTCTACCACTGCTGCAGTGGTCGAAGGTTAGTTTGTGCATATACCACTAGTCAATGGGATCAAGAGCCATTTCACATAGCAAAAGCAGCAAGCACAAACTCATCGACAAGCCTGTCGGTGCATGACTTTGCTTTTTCATTCTTATCTATGTATCTAAAACTATCATGTGTGAATTAGTCCTCAGGGCAAATTCTTGCCTGATTGCCACTGTGGCAATCCCTGAACGCCTGAGAATAAGGAACTGCCTTTCTGATTATTTTTCTGGGTGCTTGAATTGTAAAGGTGTCCGCAAAACAACTCATCTTGATGTCCAATGAGACATGACTAGCAGGAGAGCCCATGATCCTGTCACGACTATTAGCAGTGGAAGAGGAGGAGTTAACCCTTCCCCTCCCCCTACCCCTTTGGATGCCATTTTGCATTCAACCACTGGAAGCACTCATAGGAGATTTGGGCATCTGTATGCTATATTTTCCTGGTTACATCTGAATCAGAAGAGGCCAGGGCCTGGTTGAAGGCCAATAAAATGAGGCCAAATCATGGTAAGATGGAATCTTTGTGGGTAAGGGGTTCCCAGATCTGGGAGTTCACCTGTCTCTGAAGAAACAGGTGCACAGGTTGTGGGTGCTCCTAGGTACAACTTTTGTCACTGTAGGCTTCTGAGACTTCTGTGGTGAGGAGGGGCTATTATTAGATTAGGTTGAAACACCAACCACACCTTTCCAGGACAGGGATTGGACTACTGTAATGCACTCTGTGTAGGGCTTCCCTTGAGATTGGTCCAGGAGCTGTAGCTGGTGTAGAACACTGCAACCAAGTTGTTGAGTGGAGCACCAGGACATGCAGATATTATAGCTATGCTGGGAGAATGGCACTGCCTGCCAATCAGCTACAAAGCCATGGCTGTAGTGTGGTATAGTGGTTAAGAGTGCTGGACCTAGGAGACCAGGGTTCAAATCCCCAAGCAGCTATGAAGTTCACTGAGTGATTTTAGGTGTGTCCCTACGTCTTAGCCTAACCTACGGTACCTCATAGGGTTGTTCTGAGGATAAAATAGGAGGAGGAAGTGTGTGTGCCACTTTGAGCTCCTAGGGAAAAAAGGTGGGATATAAATACAGTAGTAGCTGTAATAATAATAATAATAATAATAATAATAATAATAATAATAACTATAAAGCCCTGAGCAAATCGAGACTAGGTTACCTAAAAGACCGCCTGCCCCTCTATAGACCTGCAAGATCACTTAGATCATCTGGGGAAATTCTACTTGTGGTGCCACACTCTACATCAGGGGTAGACAACCTAATCACCTTCTCAATCCGGCCCACAGACACTCTGGGAATCAGCGTGTTTCTACATGAGTAGAATGTGTCCTTTTATTTAAAATGCATCTCTGGGTTATTTGTGGGGCATAGGAATTCATTCATTTTTTTTTTCTTCAAAACATAGTCCGGCCCACCACATGGTCTGAGGGACGGTGGACCAGCCCATGGCTGAAAAAGGTTGCTGACCCCTACTCTACAGAATATCACAGGGTGGTGATCAGAAAACATACATTTACTGCTGTTGCCCCATCAGTTGTGTCATACATCTTGCAAGGACTTATCCTTTTTGTCCAGGCTTTCCCTGTTTACCATAAGATTCAACCCAGATTTATATGCATGAATTCCCTAGATCTGTTTCATTTGTTTTTATGTCTTTATACTGTTTTGTTGATTTTAGGCAACACTGGATACTGGTACATATTTTAAAAACATTAAGGGGTTTAGAAAGGCTTTAAAATAAATATATAAATACATTTTCCTGACAGAAATTGCCGCATACAGAGCACACTTTGCCAGTTTATGAAACAGCTGAAATTTTGTCACAAGAAATGTGCAAATATGTGCATATGGATGTGCAGGTGAGCAGTCTTTCACTGCTGTCTTGCAATGTTTAAAGCATCACAAGTCTTTCCTGCAGAATGGAAAAACATCCACAAGAGGGCACCACCAAAACAGACACAGATTTTGTCCCAGTGTTCTGCAGATACTGTAAAATAAAAAGTATGGTAGATTTTGCAAAGCAAAAGCTTAGTATTTCCCACAAAAGTAGATCCTGCCTCAACCACAGCTGGAGGACCCCAGGTTCCCTCGATAGTTTTCAGCCATTATCCCAGCTCACTCTAAGACAACTTATAATAATAATAATAATAATAATTTATTATTTGTACCCCGCCCATCTGGCTGGGTTTCCCCAGCAACTCTGGGCGGCTTCCAACAAAGATGAAAAATACACTAAAATGTCACATATTAAAAACTTCCCTGAACAGGGCTGCCTTCAGATGTGACTACTCCATGAATGCAAAATTTAGTACTGGGAAGAAGCATCGAGATTTTGAGAACTGTTCCCCTTCTGTTTTGTTTTGTTTAAGCAGCAATTTTGTTGCTCTTGTCGCAGCAAAGATAGGCTTGAAACTATGAAGACAGAAAGCAGAAAAAGTAGTTCATGGCCAGCGATTGAATACAGTGTAACTCGGGTTACATACGCTTCAGGTTACATACACTTCAGGTTACATACTCCACTAACCCAAAAATAGTGCTTCAGGTTAAGAACTTTGCTTCAGGATTAGAACAGAAATCATGCTCCAGCAGCGCAGCAGCAGCAGGAGGCCCCATTAGCTAAAGTGGTGCTTCAGGTTAAGAACAGTTTCAGGTTAAGAACGGACCTCCAGAACGAATTAAGTACTTAACCCGAGGTACCACTGTAATTGATACAAAGAAAGAGTTTCCATGCAAAATCCCATCATGTGTACAAGAAATCATAACATGTGATTAAGACCCAACCCTCAGGTGCACAGCAAGTTGCAAAATTGGCTCTTGGAGCTATTACCCTCTAGAGCTCAGCTAAAGCACCACTCCATTATCTGTACATCTTTGAAGAAGAAGAGGAAGAATAATAATCAGCATTGTACATATAGCAAGAGAATGACTCACCACAGCGATCCCTGATGACCAGGTTTCTGCCTTCCTTCAGATGTATTGTTAACAGATATGCAAATGTGGTGGGCAATTTGCTCAAACCATCGCTTCCTTCCTCAAGCATCTGTGGGAAAAGTTTCAAGAGGAAAGCTATACATCAGTTTCACTTCTCATAAAGAGCATGTACTAAACACAGATCCACCCTATCACAATTCTAGGAATCTGAAAGCTAGGACCGCATGAAAGACCACTAAAAATAGAGACAACACATTGTGACCTGCCTAGGCATTAAGGTCGTCATCCAAGGCCCTTCATTGACTGCCATCATTTGTGTGCTCCAGCAATTTTATTTGCCATCACTCTGTCCTTTTCTGGTTCCATTGGGATCGTCTTCTTATTCACAACGCTATTGCTCATGATGCTTTCATTTAATTGTAGCTTAAAGAGGGGTGGGCAAGTCTATCAATTTTGGTTTCTCGGTTTCTCTTTTTCTCCAACCTTAAATTCAGTTTACAATGAACTCAAAAAGATATTGAAGATTACCTTTGCAAAAAAAAAAATAAAAAAAAAATTAAGCCTTCCTGTTAGGCATCATAAGACACTGATATACCAAATATTTCTTTATGCCACTGTGGCAGCAAGAATTCTAATAGCTAGAAACTGGAATGGAGATGTGATACTGATGAAATTGGAGTGGCAATCAAAACTGTTAGAATTTGCAGAATTGGCTAAAATGATGGAAAAACTAAGAGACCGGACTGAATAAACATTTATAAAGGAATGGGACCTGTACAGAAAGTATCTCAGGAAAGTATCTCAGGAAGCACTGCAAGAATTTGAACTCATTGGCAGGCCTGGAGTACCTTCTGTAGAAAATTAGGAAATTATAGAAACTTAAGAGAATAAAGATGTATTAGCATTGATAAAGATAATTGTGACAATTTAAAAAGTAATAAGGTATCATGTGATGGGAAGTCGTTATAGAAGGTATGTATTAGGAAATTATTGTATTTAGATGTATTGTGTAAAAGCGTTTTTTTTTGTTGGTTGGTTGGTTGGGTTTTTTGTTGGAACTAATAAAGCATAAATAAATAAATAATCCTCATGAAATTTCATCAGCATTTTAATGTGAATTTTTCCTCAAATAGACACTTTTATATGTAATGTTGTCTGACACACACACTCTTGCAAAGCAATTTTCCCTAATCGAAAGCATTTTTTATAGGTTTCTTTCACTAACATATGCATCTTTATGTTAGTTATGTTTACTCTTGGATATGCATTTTCATCCGTATTACTTGGCTGGAGAATAGCACTGCAAAATTCAGGGAGGTGCAGATTTTGAAGAATGGCTGTGTTTCATTTGCGTATTGTTTCAAAAAGTGTGAATTGGGAGGTTTGCCTTCAAATGCAAACTGAACTGAATTTTTCCCCCATCCTCAACTTTAAATTCATTTTGTGGTTGTTGTATATACCACTCTGGGATCTGTTTGGATGAAGGGTAGTTTAGGCATTTTAAAAGTGGGTAAAACTGGTCTCATTCTGACACTACAATCAAATTGTGGCTTGGCCATTGGGGAGATGCTTGGAGATCCTAAGCTTCCCCCTTTGTGCTCAAATTCATTACTTCTTCTCCAGGTTCACACAAACCATAGTTTCCCTCCAAACCAGAATCAGAAACCATAGCTTGAACTGGATTTTCAGTTCTGAGCTGGAAGTAAAAGGTAAAGGACCCCTGACAGTTAAGTCCAGACGCAGACAACTCTGGGGTTGCGGCGCTCATCTCGCTTTACAGGCCGAGGGAGCCAACGTTTGTCCGCAGACAGTTTTTATGGGTCATGTGGCCAGCATGTCTAAGCCGCTTCTGGCAAAACCAGAGCAGCGCACGGAAACACCGTTTACCTTCCTGCCAGAGCGGTACCTATTTATCTACTTGCACTTTGACATGCTTTCAAACTGCTAGGTTGGCAGGAGCTAGGACCGAGCTACGGGAGCTCACCCCGTCACGGGGATTCGAACCGCCGACCTTCTGATCAACAAGCCCAAGAGGCTCAATGGTTTAGACCACAGCACCACCCATGAGCTTGTGGTAAACCATAGTTTAAACCAAGAAGGGAAGGAGTAAATTGGAAGACATGAGTGTGAAGCCCTTTGTAATGGCCAGTTTGACTATTACATCTAATCTGGACCATTGATTTAATGATCCCTGGATTTACATTTGCAGAGGCAAAATGAATACAGGGATTGGGAGAGGAGCAAGTGTCGTGTAGTCATTAAAAGAGCTAGAGTATCTATATGCATATAGACAGGGCAGATAGATAGTCAAAGCTGGGGGGGGAAATATGGGAGAATCGTACGTTGGAAATGTTGTCTATAGGAATAAAAGAAAATTATTATAAATTAATTTGGAGATAGTATTTAACACCAGTCAGATTAAATCAAATAAACAAGGAATATTTGGTGTTATGTTGGAGGGGATGCCAGGAAACTGGGCATGATGTTCACATGTGGTGGGGGTGTAAATATGTACTATTTTTCTGGCAAAGGGTGTTTAAGGAGATAACAGAAATCACTGGGTTAAAGTCTAGAGGCAGCATTATTATCAATTTACGATGGGGTGGAAGGTTCGTAGGCTACGAAGGACTTGCTCACAAATTTATTGACAGCTGCACGAATTATGATAGCTAGGAAGTAGAAGGGGCAAGCAGAATATAAAATGGAAGAATTGTATAAAGAGGTGTGGGACATAGCTATTAATGATAAATTAACATGTGCCATTAAGGTAAGACGGGGAATATTCAGGAAGTGATTTTGAGGAGATATGGAGGGTGTTTGTAGAACATTTGTACTGTTAAAATGGAAAGGGGTCAAACCATTGCAAGAGGTGTTGAAATTTTGGGAGTTTGGATAGTTACAATGGAGTGGTTTTAGTGGTGCGGAGCACATTTTTATTCTTATTTATGTATGATTATTACTTTGTCAAAATAAAATAAAATAAAATAATAATAATAATAATAATAATAATAATAATAATAGAGAGAGAGCTAGAGTAGGACCTGGGAGACCAAGGTTCAAATTTCCACTTATTTTTATTGAAAATAAGTGGTATTGGTAACAAGGTTATTAAGAATATGCAAATATGGATTGATAATGGATAAAAATGTATAGTCATAATAGGTTAAGATATAGAGTTAAGATAAATGAAAGAGGGTAAGGATTTGCTGAATTGATTATGTAAATAGGAATACAAAAAGGGGAGGTGTGAGGAGGTCAAGGAAACAAGCAAATGAGCTTAAAGATATCGAAAAATGGATTTATTTTTAAATTTTTTCTTAGCTATTTGTTTTTTGTATTTTGTTGTTGTTTTTTGTCATTTTTTTTCTCTTCTATGTTTTCTTTTTAGTTTGTTAACTTCTGTTTTAAATCCTTAAAAAAACCTATGCTTTTTTGTAAAACGCTAATAAATATCTTATAAAAACAAAAACAAATTTCCATTCGGCCATGAAGCTCACAGGGTGATTTTGGGCCAATCACCACCTCGCCTAACCTGGAAGATTGTATAACCGACTAAGGTAAGAGTCGTGTTTATTGCTCCACCTACTTTTACCTGCCCATGTGTGTCCTCTGGAAGGAAATGCAGCCCCTGGGCTGAAAAATGTTCCCCACCTTTCTGTTAGGTCACAGTGCATCCAAAGGAAATTACAGAGCAAGTCACTGCACCATTGGGGACTAGTGCTGCAGACAAGGTTACTTCTGCAGGAGGCAACATGAGAGTAACACAAGAATCCAGTCTTAGGGAAGGAAGAAACCAAGGAACATACTGAGTCAAAGCCCATGTAGTTCAATATTGTCTTCTCTAAGATTTCATGACAGGGGACTTTTCTAGCCCTACCTAGAGATGCCATTATTGAATCAGATCTTCTACATGCAAGTCAAATGCTCTGGCACTGAGCCATAGCCTTTCCCATTAGGTTGAGGTGAGCCCAACCCACCCCACCTGCCTTGAGAACTATTAACCACACCACAATTCTTCCACATTCCTTGCTGTTATGCAATGCCCACTGCTAGATTCCACAAAGTGATTTCTATTAACACAAGCTTCAGAGCCTCTGCACCTGGTATTTGCAGCTTACAGCCTGGCATTCGTTTTTTTTAAAAAAATGTATCACTCACCGACTGCTCCTCAAACAGCTGAGAAGAGCTGGAGGAGTCAAGGATGGAGCCTCCGCCATACGAACGCTATGAAAAGAATAGAACAGAGGTTGTATTGACTTTGCATTGTATTGCTGTTGCTCAATCCTTCAGCGACAACGTTCCATTCCAGTGCAAAAAAGAAAGAAAAGAGAAAGGTGCAAGACGGGGGAAAGGGCTTATCTTTGAGCAAGTTGAGGAATGTCGCCGGACAGCAGACCAAGTCACATACTTTCCCCCATCATTCACATACATAATGTGTGAAGCCTGGTGCTCTGAGCCCATACACACTATGGTCCAAACTGCACAATCATGCAAGCCAGATTACTTGATCTAGATGATTCGCAGCAGCTCTACAGGGTTTCAGGTGAAGGACATTCCCACCCCACCCTGGAAATAATGAGGATTAAGCCTGAGACCCTTCTCTGTGCAAACCAGATACTCTACCACTAAGCTGCAGCACTTTCCCAAGGTTCCAGTCCTCATGTTTCTGAATAAAGGGTTGAAGTAAACGGGAACATTAGAGCCTGCCTTATTAGACTATTGGTTCATCTGTTGTCCACCATTGACTAGCAGCGACTTTTGGGGGTTTCAAACAGGAGATAACCTCAGACCTACCTGGAGGTGCCAGGGACCTTCTGCATTTGCTGTTTTATTGTTGTTGCTGCTGTTTGTAGGGTGGATGGATAACCACGCAATTGCGTATACAGGCTTATGAACTAGCTCACACTTCACATTGTGCACAAGGTAAAGGGGAAGGGCAACCAAACAATCCATCCCACAAACTGGATCACCAGCCAGCTGGCATCAGATCTGGGCCAGTGCTGTGGTGGCACATTCTTTCCAACTAAAGGGTCCCCAAAATCCTAGATTCAAAGAATGGCGAGATTTCCCCTCCCAATATGAGGATTTGTAGGGGAAATGTCGGGGATTGGATGGGGATTGGTTGACTGTGTAATGTGTAAGGATGAGTGACCATATCAGTTTTGCTTTCTAAGCTTTCCATTTTTAAGATCAGTTCTCCATATTTCCGTGTCAGTTTGTGATGAGAGAGTCCTCATGAAAATTCATCGGCGTGTTTGTGCATATTTAACATATACATTTTTGCATACCATTTCCCCTAAAATAATGCCATTTTACCGTATTTTTCGCACCATAGGACGCAGTTTTTCCGTCTTAAAAACTAAGGGGAAATGTGTGTGCGTCCTATGGAGCGAATGCAGGCTCCCTGGCTTCAGCGATAGCAAGGCAAAGCCTCCGAAGCCTGCGCTCCGGAGGCTTCCCGTTGCTTCCGCTGAAGCCAGGAGAGTCTGCTCTTTGAGGCTGGCGGGGGGAAAGCAGCGCTTCCCCCATCGCCAGCCCCAGAGGATGGGGGGCAGCAGGAAGGCGCGCGACGCCTTTCCCGCTGCTCTCCAACCCTCCTGTGGGCTTTTGCGGGAGATGGGGGAATTCCCCCACCTCCCGCAAAAGCAGGCAAAAGCTGTGCGCTCTTTAAAGGGGCTGCACGGCTTTGCTGGCTTTTCTAGGAGGTGGGGGGATTCCCCCACCTCGCAGAAAAGCCTGCAAGAGCCTCGCAGCCTTTACAGAGCGCGCAGCTCTTGGGGGCTTTTCCCCAAGGAGGGAGAAGGGACTGACTGGCCGAGTCAGTCCCTTCTCCCTCCTGCGGGCTTTTGCGGGAGATGGGGGAATTCCCCCACCTCCCGCAAAAGCAGGCAAAAGCCGTGCGCTCTTTAAAGGGGCTGCACGGCTTTGCTGGCTTTTCTAGGAGGTGGGGGGATTCCCCCACCTCGCAGAAAAGCCTGCAAGAGCCTCGCAGCCTTTACAGAGCGCGCAGCTCTTGGGGGCTTTTCCCCAAGGAGGGAGAAGGGACTGACTGGCCGAGTCAGTCCCTTCTCCCTCCTGCGGGCTTTTGCGGGAGATGGGGGAATTCCCCCACCTCCCGCAAAAGCAGGCAAAAGCCGTGCGCTCTTTAAAGGGGCTGCACGGCTTTGCTGGCTTTTCTAGGAGGTGGGGGATTCCCCCACCTCGCAGAAAAGCCTGCAAGAGCCTCGCAGCCTTTACAGAGCGCGCAGCTCTTGGGGGCTTTTCCCCAAGGAGGGAGAAGGGACTGACTGGCCGAGTCAGTCCCTTCTCCCTCCTGCGGGCTTTTGCGGGAGATGGGGGAATTCCCCCACCTCCCGCAAAAGCAGGCAAAAGCCATGCGCTCTTTAAAGGGGCTGCACGGCTTTGCTGGCTTCTCTAGGAGGTGGGGGGATTCCCCCACCTCGCAGAAAAGCCTGCAAGAGCCGCGCAGCCTTTACAGAGCGCGCAGCTCTTGGGGGCTTTTCCCCAAGGAGGGAGAAGGGACTGACTGGCCGAGTCAGTCCCTTCTCCCTCCTGCGGGCTTTTGCGGGAGATGGGGGAATTCCCCCACCTCCCGCAAAAGCAGGCAAAAGCCGTGCGCTCTTTAAAGGGGCTGCACGGCTTTGCTGGCTTTTCTAGGAGGTGGGGGATTCCCCCACCTCGCAGAAAAGCCTGCAAGAGCCTCGCAGCCTTTACAGAGCGCGCAGCTCTTGGGGGCTTTTCCCCAAGGAGGGAGAAGGGACTGACTGGCCGAGTCAGTCCCTTCTCCCTCCTGCGGACTTTTGCGGGAGATGGGGGGAATTCCGCCACCTCCCGCAAAAGCAGGGAGAAGGTCTTGGAGTAGCGCACAGGCTGCGTGCAGCCTGTCCACTGCTCCCAGAGCTGGGGGGGGGGGGAATCATATTTTTTCCTTGATTTCCCCCCCTGAAAACTAGGTGCGTCCTATGGTCCGGTGCGTCCAATCGTGCGAAAAATACGGTATATGTTATTTTCATCAACACATGCATTTTTGTGGAGACATTATCCCGATATCTGCATTTTTGTACACATTACTTGGTTGGCAAATTGCATTGCAAATTTCGGAAAAGGACGAATTTCAAAGGAGTGCTGTGTTTCAGCTTGCATACCGTTTTAGAAAGTGCGAATTAGATAAATTCATTTTTAAATGCAAACCGAATTGACTTTCTCCCCCACCCCTAAGTAATATGCTTGTTGTACAGTATTAACACGGATGTGTATATAGCATATAAATGTTTTGATCCCCTTTGGGGGCTCACCAACTGACCTTCCCTCCACAGCCTTGAGGGAATGTGGCACAAAGGGCAAAAGGTCCCCCCCCTTCCTCTAGCATCAGGTCTAAACCAGCCCACTGACATTGGTCAACCCCCAGGCACATTACCTCAAGAACATCTTCTGCAAGGTCACTGCTAAAACTGCTTCTTTTCAACAATTCAAAGAGATCTTCACTGGATTTCCGCTTCACGTCCAACTGTGGGCCACAAGCAATGGGTTCCTCAACTCCAATTTCCAAGCGTACAGTCTCCTGCTGGTTCCACTGCCACTTCTCCCCAGTCTGTTTTGAGGAAGAGCTGCTGCTCTCCTGAAAGAACATCTCCGTTGCAGAAAAACCACTGGGGAAATAAGTGGACAGAGCCTTGGAACGTGAACAATTCATTTCTTCTTCAACAACTGTCTCCACGTCCAACATGTCCGGTACTGAGGAACTAAGACGCCGGTCTAATGGATGCCTTTTCCTGGTCTCCACTAGTTTAGAAGAGCTTTTCTTAGTCCTTCTGATGCTGAAGTTCTGTAACCTTCTTGTTTTTTGTTTGAACGATCCCCAGACAGAAGACTTATCCAGTTCCATGATTAAACTGGATTTTCCACACCAGGTCTTAAGGCCTTTCCATTGACTCCTAAGGGTGATGTGGAGAGGGACAGAACATAAGGAGAAATAAAGTGAGCTGTAGCGTTACAGAGACTTGAATCGTAGGTTGGAATGTCTCAGAGCTGAACAGATTCTCAGTCAAAACAGGTTGCATTACTAATTCCTCCCAGTGTAGGAACAAAATAATCTCACAGGCAATCAGGAAGGAAATAAAGGAAAGAGAGTTTTTAATCCTACATAAATCTATCATGAGGATAAAAATAACCAGGGGGTGAGCTATTTTGATTATTTCCAAGATTTGACATGATGGGAATTCTCAAATGCTATATATATATATAAGATGCTACCAGGCATTGTGGTGTAGGAAAGGCAACTAGACTCTTTTTGGGTGTTTATTGATGAATCACCAAGAAGTATTAACTCCGAGGTGTAAGCCTTATAGTGATTATACACAGCAGTACACAGCCAAGAGCATAGGCTGAAAATGTTCCACAGGTCTGCATTTGGTCAAAACCTCAATGCAAGGCCAGCTGTGAAAGGTCATGTACACTACCACAAGTTCCACGACTGATTTACTGGTGCAGACCCCAAACTCAGTATTGGAAGTATTGGATCGCCTTACTTTCATCCAGCTTCTAGAAAGTGACCTGGGTCTAAGGAAAGGCATCAACCTCACATGGAGCAATAAAGAGGATTTTGAAAGACTCCTAGCTTTGCATCCAAGCATAACCATTGTTTGGTCCCATCTGCTGGAAAGGCGATATCGGCATGATAGCCCTGACTTGGCAGGTATCAATAGAGCAAGAAAGAAGGCCAACCATTCAGTTGCAGAAAGGTGCAACTCCTAAATGGCAACCTTTCACCAGGAGGACTTCTAACGCAAGGATGGGGTACACCTGTCTGAATTGGACAATGAAATTTGGTTAAATAACATTATGGAGTGTGTCAAGGGTTGTGGTTGCAGGTGTGAAGAATTTGGTGGTGAGTTGATTTTGGCTCGACCGGTGGTTAGGCATTGGGTAAGCCTATGTATTGGCTGAAGGGGAGGTAGTAGCCTCTGCCTGCCCCACCCTGGTTAATGGTATCCTGTTAAAGGGATCCAGGAGGAGTGGCTTCTGTCTGATGCCTAGGGCCATAGCACTCCTCCAATGGGGACCCCTCAGGGGGTACACCTATTTGATATAGGCCATAGGACTCCCCCTAATGGTGGTTTACACTTAGCTGAATTCCCAGCAGACCGGCTGGAGAGATATAATCTGATAAAATCTGGCTTCACCCAATGCCTATGCCAAATGCTCATATCTGTAACCAATAAAAGGTGTGGTCGATTTGAACCCAGAAACCCATCTGTTGTTGTCCTGTCTGGTTATTTACCCTTAGGGAACTGTGAGGTCATGGGTAGGGTTGCCATATGTCCAGAAATTCCCAGGCATAGACAGAATACTGTAGTCGGAAGCAGTGTCTGGGCGAAAATTGCATAAAAAAGGTCAACAGCTTTTGAAAAATGGCAACCCTAGTCATGGGGTCTTGGCACACAAGTGTCATAATCCCTGATGACTGCCCATGAGGGCTGGGCTGGTGGGGAGCTGTAGCCCAGGAACATTTGGAGGGCCACAGTGCCCAATCCCTCGTGCTAAAGGGACATCTAGAGCATCAACAGAAATATATGTCATTATAACCACCTGCAAAAACTATAAGGAGGAAGGCTAAAAAATAAAATACATCAGATGAGGGGGGCACATAATTGGATAGAAATTCTCAAACCATGCAATGGGATCTATTAACTCAATGAAAGCTTCTGTGACCCCAAACCATCTACAAACAATGATGCAGAAGGAATTTCCAGCCCTACCTGGAGATCCTGGGGGGTTGAACCTGGAACCTTTTGCACCCAAGACAGATGCTCAACCACTGAGCTATGGTCTGTCCCCAGTTCAGCTGGGCAAAGTAGCAATATAGGAAACTATCTAATACCAAGCCAAGCTATCTCTAGCTCAATACTGTACACACTGACCAGTAAGTGGCCCTCTAGATTTTCAGACAGGGGTCTGGAAACATCCGACCACACCTGGAGATGCCAGATTTTGAACATGGGAGCTTTTACATGCAAAGTGTGTGCTCTCCCACAGAGACAGAGCCTCACCATTTGAGAATATGAATGCATTAACTTTTTTCCCCAGAAAGAAAGGAGCCCTCAACTATCAGAAGATGTTTCAAAGTTCGTCACAACAGTTCCATTCCATCTTCCTAATGATCTTCACACCGTGGCCACAAATGATTTGTGAGGCTTTGCTTTCGCTCTCTAAGTAGTAATTCAAACAGGAAAGCCATTTCCTTTCAAGATCCAGTCACTGTGGAAAAACAAGTTACTCTCCTCCTGTTTAGCTAGCCTTCAGCCATGAGCTGGAAGGCGGAGGCATTTACCGCATCCTGCAGGGGGGTGGGATCCTGAGATGCCTCTGTAAGCTTAAGAATTAAAGTATATTAACACTTTCCTCTCTACAAAAAAGTGTTATTTCATGAAAAGGAAAGGAAAAACTATTTCCAGCTAATTGTGTGCTGTTTTAATATTAAATATGAAATGACATGTTTGGGGGTAAATGTAAAGGTAAAGGTAAAGGACCCCTGACCATTAAGTCGAGTCGCAAACGACTCTGGGGTTGCGGCACTCATCTCACTTTATTGGCCGAGGGAGCTGACGTTTGTCTGCAGACAGTTTTTCCGGGTCATATGGCCAGCATGACTAAGCCGCTTATGGCGAACCAGAGCAGCGCACGGAAACGTCATTTACCTTCCCGCCAGAGCAGTACCTATTTATCTATTTATTGGCGGTTCGAATCCCCATGGCGAGGTGAGCTCCCATTGCTCAGTCCCAGCTCCTGCCAACCTAGCAGTTCAAAAGCACATCAAAGTGCAAGTAGATAAATAGGTACTGCTCTGGCAGGAAGGTAAACGGTGTTTCCGTGCGCTGCTCTGATTTTGCCAGAAGCGGCTTAATCATGCTGGCCACATGACCCATAAAAACTGTGGACAAACGTCGGCTCCCCTGGCCAGTAAAGTGACTGGACTTAACTGTCAGGGGTCCTTTACCTTTATATATCTGAGTTTCTAACACTGTATGAGTGTCTTTCTTTCTTTCTTTCTTTCGGTACTGCACTTTCTCTTGGGAAAAACCCACATCTTACTGCTGAATCAGAGCAAACAGCAATCCAAAGAAAACCATTGCAATTTGCTCTAATTCAACATTAAACATGGGTTTTCCCTGGGAAAGTGCTGGAGCAAAAAATAATAATTGCTCAGACACTGGAGCTTTAAAGCTGGGACCTGTACCCAGAAATGCAACACAAAAGAAAGTCTGGATGATCTCTAAGTCACAGAGTAGATGCTTTGCACACCAAAAGGTCAGATGTTCAATCCTTGGCATCTCTGTGTGGGTATTAACTGCTAGAATTTCACTGCCAGTCAGCGCAGACAGCACTGTGTTAGGTGGACCAAAGATCTGATTCCGTATCAGAGGGAAAGGGGTCCAAGGTTGTAAGGGGTTAAAGGCTCATTACTACCGTATTTTTTGCTCCATAAGACACACCTTTTTCCTCCTAAAAAGTAAGGGGAAATGTGAGTGCATCTTATGGAGTGAAGGGCACTGCGCAGAGAGGGAGAACTGTGAAGGGCCCCTTCAGCGACGCGCCTGTCCTGTGAAGACAGAGGAGAAACAGAAGGGGCTCCTTCTGTTCCTCCTCCCACTTCGCTTAAGGGGCGCTGCACAGAGAGGGAAAGCTACGCAGTGCCCCTTCAGCGAAGCACCTCTCCTGGCTTCTGCCTTAGCCACGCGGAGCCTATTCAGGCAGGGGGAGCCTTCATCCCGCTGCCCTGAAGAGGCTTGGTGCGGCTATCCCAGAAGCCAAATCCCTCTTGCTGTTCTGGGATTCAGAATATTTTTTTTCTTGTTTTCCTCCTCCAAAATCTAGGTGCACCTTATGGTCTGGTGCGTCTTATAGAGTGAAAAATTTGGTATTTCTGAAGCAGGGTCACAGCAAGGTCGCTGTCTCCAGCATCCTAGAGCAACTCGATCAACATGGAAGGGGAGATTTTTAGCCACAGAAAAGATGTCTTCTCACCCTTTGTGCTGATTGGAGTCAGAATGAAAGGTGAGTCAGCCACTGAGGATTGGCTTCTAGGGTCACTCTGAGGAGTTATCTGTATGCTCCAAAGCTAATCATTTAAATACACCGAAGGGGGGGGACACACGACCCAAGATGTTTCAGTTTCAAGAGAATGGTGTGCAAGTTCTGTTACTTGCAATGGACTTCAAGGAAAGCACAACTTCAGTTACTCCAAAATAAGACACTGGGGCACTCCAAATCGCATGTATGTGCACAGAAAATAGATCTAGCTGAAAGGCAGGCCATGGAGGGCTGCATCAATTGCCGCAATGCATCCCCAATTATTATGATTGTGGAATTATAATATAATATCATCTCAAAAGTTTGTATTACCTTAGAAGGACTGTGGCTGTGAGGGGGTCTGGCTGTGACTATCAATGAAAGGACCCTCTTCTTCTGCGTTTGCCAGTGAGCTCAGTGTTATTATCAAGGAAGGGACACAGTTCCGTGGTAGAGCATCTGTAATGAAATGCAGAAGGTCCCAGCTTCAATATGTGGCATCTCCAGGTATGGCTGAGAGAGATTCCCATCTGAAACCCTGGAGGAGCTTCTGGCAGTAAGTGTGCACAACACTGTGCTAGACAGGTCAGTGTCCTGATAAGGCGGCTTCCTATGTTCCTCGGTTCCTATGTCCCTAAGCCAGCAGACTGCTACGCCAAAAACGTCTGAAAAGCAATGGCGTGCCCGTCCAGGGAATCCCACTCTTTGCAGCCTGGTTCCTGGTCTGAAGGAATCAGTTGCTCAATTACTTCTGCTTGCAACCCTTGGCTGCACCCATCAACTCTCCTGATTCTGAAAGGGACAACAGCAGGCCGCCACATGCTCAGAGGTGTTTTTAAGCACAATTCAACCTTCTCCTTTTGCCAACGATCAAGATGGGGTGGGGAAATCCTGCTTCCTCTTGCTGATTCTTAATTGTTGTGGCAATTCAAAGCATTTCCAGAGCAAGCAGGCTTATGCAACCAATCCTGCCTCACGTTGCCTGCCAAGATCTCCAGGACTGGTCTAGCTGAGAAACCCATGGCCCGAAGGCAGAGGGAGTCAGCTTTCTTGGACAAAGGGAGCAGAAATTGAGGCACAATTAAAGGGCAATGGCCTTACTTGGTCTACTAAACTTCACTTTAACTAATCAGTTAGGGAGTCTAATTCACCAGTTATGAGCAGGAGGAAGGACTGTGGCTCTGTGGTAGAACACAGAAGGTCCTAGGTTCAATCTCCAGAATGTCCAGCTACAGCTGCAAACAGACCACTGGGTAAAGTAGAAGACACCTAACTGATGTAAATTGTTCACAAACCTAGTTTTTGACTGCAGTATTTACACTGCATATGCATGGAATGTTTCTTGGAGGGTATATGGGGATGGCTTGCTATATGTATTTTCAGAAACTTAAAAATGAAGTTAAGAAAAAGAACAGGGAGAGAAGACAACAGCTGGCCTATTTCAGATTTTAATTTTTAAAATATAGTCTTATGTATAACTACTGTAAACCACTCTGAAAAGCTTTTATGAATCATAGTACAGTGGTACCTCTCCATTGACAAATGTTTCAGAACCCAAACGCTGAAAACCTGGAAGTAAATGAGTTCATTATTTAGATCCATTCCAACCTGGGTTCAGGCCTGGCCACAGAACTGAGTCAGCCTTGGTTGCCCTGATGAGTTTGAATCCTGCCAAGATGGAGGCACTGTGGATTAGTAGCTCCTGTGTCCAAGAAAGTGGTCAGTTGCCTGCCCTGGATGGGGTTGCACTCCCCCTGAAGCTTCCCAGTTTGAGGGTGCTTCTGGATACAGTTCTGTCACTGGAGGTTCAACTAACCTCAGTGGCTAGAAATGTCTTTCACCAACTGCAATTGGTTCGACAGCTGCAGCCATTCCTGAACCAGAAACCCTTGCCACACAACGAATTGAAGAAAATGTTTAAGATATCTTTCAACAAAAAAAGAAGCTTTTCTTTTAGGGATAGTAGGTAGTGAGATACCAAAAGACAAAAAATAATTATTATTTATGTATGCCAGAACTGAACCTAAAATATTCCTGGTTAGGCAAGCCTACCCAGCTGCTTAGAAAGTTGAAGTAATTATAATTTGCTTTAGTATTTCAACTTCTGAATGTTTTAAAGTATGGTTGTGATTTTTTCTCTCTCCATTTTATTGTTTTATCTTTTTGTAAACTGCTTTGAGGTTTTTAACAATCAAGCAGTATATAAATTTTGTGAAATAAATAAATAACTTGTGTTAAAAGTGGGCAGCTGACACAAACCTGTCCCCTCCTACTTTTCATGCAAATGTTCACCCTTCACTTTTGTTTCTGCAACTAATTCATGGTGTGTCATTGCACCTGCATGTTTTTGCCAGTCTCGGTTCGCTCCAAGCCACAATAGTTAAATGTGTCATTTGCAAAGTGTTGTTTGAAGCAAGCCATGGCTGACAGATACACCTGTGCATCGGCAGTGCTGCGCTGTAATTAGCTCTGAAAACAAACCAAAACAAGCACAGAGTAGGGAAATCTACATGTGCAGGTTGAACTGTGAAATAGAGCAATGCAACTAGTCTGTAGGGCACTGTCGATCCTCTCAATGTGGCTAGGGGATCAGGGAGCATTATAACCAAGCCGTGCAATCAAAGCAAAGCAAAACACACCCACAGACTGATTATTACCTCCAGATGATCAAGAGGAGGCTTAAATCAGGTAGGCCTATGAAATCAACTTCCCTGGCCAAAACAAACAACCATTTGTTTAAGGTGGAACTTCCCAGCTTGTCCTTGAAATGCAAACAACATCCCACTTAACATTTAGAGACGTCAATATTGAGCTGCTTTAACTATCTGGCAGCATTTGGAGTGCGGATCTTCAGTGGGCGAGTCACTTCCAAGCTAAAGTGTTCCTCCTGCAGCCACCACCACCCACCCATTTCTATCGGAGTTTTGTTTAAGGTTTGCATTTTCAAAGATGGTGAAAGAAACAGATCACAAGCACGGAGCAACTTTACTTCCATCTTGAGCATAGCTCAGTCAGTAGAGCATGAGACTCCGAATCTTAAGGTTGTGAGTTCGAGCCCCACGTGGAGTGAAATATTCCTGCATTGCAGAGGGTTGGACTACATGATCTACGATTCTATTCCGTATGGGGAATTTCAGAGGGTGCAGCTTCTCCCCTCTTTGGAGTAAGCTGAACTTCCAATATTCTCTCACATCTGCACTGAAGATACAGGAGGCCAGTCATCCTTTGCTACTGGTCATCCTGAAAAGAAGAAATAAAAAGATAGAGGGGTTTTTTTGGGGGGGGTTACAGGTTGGGTCTGGGAGATGGGTCAGGAAGGATAAATTTGTCCATTTCTGTTCTTTCTCATTTTTCCAATCTTAAATTCAGTTCTTCACATTTCTGGGCAACTTGTGATTTTTTTATTTAAAAAAATGCAATTGCAAAAAACTTTATAGCATTTTTGAGCTATATTGGGATGGGGCAGGGATTTCACTCGATGTACATTGCCTACTAGGTTAACCCCTGCTGCTGCACACACATACCCTTGAATAAATTGTAGGATTTGTCATCAAACAATGCCACAATTATTTTTTTAAAATGGGTCTATCTGGAAGCAGTGATCTTTGTAAGAGAAGGTGTCAGTGAACTGCCATCAGTGCCGGAGGGAGAGAGCAAGCTCCAGAGGGAACCCAGAGAGCGTCCTGGGATTGGGAGAGGCAGCCCATCTTCTGGGGAAGGGAATCAGCGTAGCACCAGTGGAGAAGGGGGGCAGATGGGGGAATCGGCGAGGCGATCCCATGACTCCTTGCCGGGGACCAGCGGGGAGAGTAAGGGTCCTCCGCTGCCTACGCCCTCCTTGCGCAGAAGGCTTCCGCGCAGGGAGAGTAGGAGGAGACTAGGCGTCAAAGAGCTTCTTTGCTGGAAGAAGTTTAAGAAACGCCCACTGATGGATTCTGCCAGCAATTGAGACAGCCACGGGTGAGTGGCTGTCCAGACAGGAAAGGTTCACTTAGGCAACCCAGCCAGGTGTTGGCACAGGCTTACGCACGAGCAACCCCTAGAACCATTACAGAAGGAAACCAAAATCATCAACAAGAAACCCTGTTTGCTGATGATAGACTTCCAAACAGACACCACCACTGATACTTGGACCAGAAGACTATACATTGATTTAAAGAGCCAGATGTCCAAGCAAACAGTCATGCAATCATGATCTTCAACTTTGGACCCCCAAATGTTGTCGGACTGCAACTTCCATCAGTTCCCTGCTGGTTTAGTCAATGATAAGGGATTACAGGAGTTGTAGCCCCAAAATATCTGGGAACCCATGGCAGAAGAACACTGATATATACATGTGAACAGAGACCCAGTTTCTGCTATACAGGACAATTAATTAGTCCAAATACCGTATTTTTAAGTGTATAAGACAAGGGGTTTTTTTACTCTAAAATAATGTTAAAAACATGCCTCGTCTTATACATGGATAGTGAATGGGGTGGACAGGTGATTGTCTGCAGCCGTGAGCAGGAGCTTGTCAGTGACAATTGTTGGCTGCTAGAAGGCTGCTTTGGATTGGCTGCTGCTGCTCTAATTGAGTTGGTGATTGGTTTATGCAGCAAACACTGCTGTAGATTGGCTGCCACTGCCGTGATTGGTGGCTGCTGTTTTGGGATGCACAATTGTGATTGTCAGCAGACAGCTTTTCTCAGGTGGGTTAGAGATTTTCTGCTGGGGAAGGGTCTGTTGGCAATTTGCTGTCACTGTGTCAAGTGGGCGTTCATCGTCGGTGCTGCAGGTGAGCGATTTTCGGCAATCCCCCCCCCCAAAAAGCTGTAAAACTCTGGGCAATCCTGGGCAATCCTCCACAAAAGAAGCTCAACAACTCTGAGCCATTTCCCCCCTATTTTCTTAAATTTGAGTCCCCCAAAATAGGGGGCATCTTATACATGGGGGACGTCTTATAGATGGAAATGTACGGTAGCCTTGGAGATATAACAAGGGCTGCAATCCTAACCACACTTACTAGGAGTAAGCCCCGCTGAATTCAGTTGGTCTCACTTCTAAGTACATCATCTAAGTACAGTACAATCATCAACTTGTGGATGAAAACAGGTTTAATACTGAAACTTATTCATTGCAAAGTTTTGTGTTGTCCATGTGACATTCCCTCTCTCTCAATCACTCAATCCCACACTTGGGACTAAACATTTCGAAATTCCTGTATGCAAAGATAGATCACAGGTGGATCACCTATGTGTGTTTTTCCTAAACGTACTAGTCACCATGTTTATGTTTTTCTCTTACTTTTTTTTTTAAAAGTTCATGCTTCTCAGAAAAGTACTCAACTTACAGGGTAGGAAGGCATCAGATCTATCAGAGTGGGTTTGCTAACACCAGTGCACAGTGAAACCTGAGCTCCCAAATTAGTTTTCTGAAGCAATGCAAATTTCCTCACTGACAAACAACCGCCTACTG